AGCTCTGATGTTAGTGGGGTGTCCCATTGTCAGCTCTGATAGAGATGTCCCATTGTCAGCTCTGATAGAGATGTCCCATTGTCAGCTCTGATGTTAGTGGGGTGTCCCATTGTCAGCTCTGATAGAGATGTCCCATTGTTAGCTCTGATAGAGATGTCCCATTGTCAGCTCTGATGTTAGTGGGATGTCCCATTGTCAGCTCTGATGTTAGTGGGGTGTCCCACTGTCAGCTCTGATGTTAGTGGGATGTCCCACTGTCAGCTCTGATGTTAGTGGGGTGTCCTATTGTCAGCTCTGATAGAGATGTCCCATTGTCAGCTCTGATGTTAGTGGGATGTCCCATTGTCAGCTCTGATGTTAGTGGGGTGTCCCACTGTCAGCTCTGATGTTAGTGGGATGTCCCATTGTCAGCTCTGATGTTAGTGGGATGTCCCATTCTCAGCTCTGATGTTAGTGGGATGTCCCATTATCAGCTCTGATGTTAGTGGGGTGTCCCATTGTCAGCTCTGATGTTAGTGGGGTGTCCCATTGTCAGCTCTGATGTTAGTGGGATGTCACACTGTCATCTCTGATGTTAGTGGGGTGTCCCATTGTCAGCTCTGATGTTAGTGGGGTGTCCCATTGTCAGCTCTGATGTTAGTGGGGTGTCCCATTGTCAGCTCTGATGTTAGTGGGATGTCCCACTGTCAGCTCTGATGTTAGTAGGATTTCCCATTGTCAGCTCAAGGTATTATAGTCACCCTAGGTTTCTGGAATTTGTGCCCATCTGATTCTCATTCACAAGATGTTAATCCTACAGATGACAACCATGGAGGGGGTAAAAAGGATAGATTTTGTAGTTATGGCATCAATTGAAGTAGATGTAAGTTGAAATGCAAGATGTTGCTGGAAGGTCTAAAGCAGCAGGCTAAAGGAATATCATCAATACAATGTATCTGGTACAATAAAGATCAAGGTGTGTGGAGAAACGTCAATACATGTGCCATCTGGCAAAGACACATGATGGTGATGATAAGCATATGATTTTTATTATCGCATTACCCATAAATCACATGATAACCAAGTCACATGAGAGCTATAAATATCACAAGTCATAACATGACTAACATGTGGCCTGACACTTCTAATCATTTACACCAGCTATTGACCTACATATTCACCAACCAATGTGTTAATTAAAGCACTTAACAAACACACACACCTGTTTCATGAATTTTCCCATTTAACGGATATCGAAGCAGACAGAAAAAATCTACAGCAGCTGACTCAGCAATTTTTATTTCAGACTTTAAACTTCCTTATTGTGGATAACAATTTTGAACGAAGCAGAATAAAAACATGTTACCTTTTTCTGTTTTCAGCGACGGGGTATTTTATATTGTCACATTAGATGGTGTACTTGATTATAAGTATCAATCTTCTTGTATTCCTAAGCAATTGTCAATATTAGCCACCACAAACCTATTTTGACAACCCAGACCTTCGCAAATATCTGACAGATGTTGCCACCCTTTGGTCCCCTAAAACGAAGTGTGAGTATATATATATATATATATAAATGACATACAACGGTATGAATAACATACTACATGAATGACATCCAACTCAACTGCTTTGCTTACAAACTCACACAACTTTCTAGGATGAAACATCAAACAGAACAATCAACCAAAACTACTGTGTTCCCCCCCAAAATAAGCCTGGGTCTTACATTAATGTTTGCTTTAAAAATGAATTACGGCTTATTTTTGGGGGATTTTATTTTTCAGATACAAATGTCTACATGTATTCGTGTATAAAATTCCATTTTATTCAAATAGTTATTGTCATCTTTTTGAAGCGTTACGGGATATTGTTGGTGCCAAGATTCTGCTTTGTAATTTCACACAAGTAATGTACCTTGAATTATTATAACACTTGTAGCAAATGACATCACATGTAGTAACTGTTAACACATGTAGCAGCAAATGACATCACATTTAGTAACTGTTAACACATGTAGCAGCAAATGACATCACATGTAGTAACTGTTAACACATGTAGCAGCAAATGACATCACATGTAGTAACTGTTAACACATGTAGCAGCAAATGAAATCACATGTAGTAACTGTTAACACTTGTAGCAAATGACATCACATGTAGTAACTGTTAACACATGTAGCAGCAAATGACATCACATGTAGTAACTGTTAACACTTGTAGCAAATGACATCACATGTAGTAACTGTTAACACATGTAGCAGCAAATGACATCACATTTAGTAACTGTTAACACATGTAGCAGCAAATGACATCACATGTAGTAACTGTTAACACATGTAGCAGCAAATGACATCACATGTAGTAACTGTTAACACCTGCAGCAAATGACATCACATGTAGTAACTGTTAACACTTGTAGCAAATGACATCACATGTAGTAACTGTTAACACTTGTAGCAAATGACATCACATGTAGTAACTGTTAACACTTGTAGCAAATGACATCACATGTAGTAACTGTTAACACATGTAGCAGCAAATGACATCACATGTAGCAACTGTTAACACTTGTAGCAAATGACATCACATGTAGTAACTGTTAACACTTGTAGCAAATGACATCACATGTAGTAACTGTTAACACTTGTAGCAAATGACATCACATGTAGTAACTGTTAACACTTGTAGCAAATGACATCACATGTAGTAACTGTTAACACATGTAGCAGCAAATGACATCACATGTAGTAACTGTTAACACATGTAGCAGCAAATGACATCACATGTAGTAACTGTTAACACCTGCAGCAAATGACATCACATGTAGTAACTGTTAACACTTGTAGCAAATGACATCACATGTAGTAACTGTTAACACTTGTAGCAAATGACATCACATGTAGTAACTGTTAACACTTGTAGCAAATGACATCACATGTAGTAACTGTTAACAACACGTAGCAAATGACATCACATGTAGTAACTGTTAACACTTGTAGCAAATGACATCACATGTAGTAACTGTTAACACATGTAGCAGCAAATGACATCACATTTAGTAACTGTTAACACATGTAGCAGCAAATGACATCACATGTAGTAACTGTTAACACATGTAGCAGCAAATGACATCACATGTAGTAACTGTTAACACCTGCAGCAAATGACATCACATGTAGTAACTGTTAACACTTGTAGCAAATGACATCACATGTAGTAACTGTTAACACTTGTAGCAAATGACATCACATGTAGTAACTGTTAACACTTGTAGCAAATGACATCACATGTAGTAACTGTTAACACATGTAGCAGCAAATGACATCACATGTAGCAACTGTTAACACCTGTAGCAAATGACATCACAAAGCAACAGACATTGCACATGCAGCAATTGGTATCTCAGACAGCAACAGGAAACAAGCGTATCTTAATTGGTAAAAGCTGATGTGATCTAACTGTCATGAACTTCATCTCAAAGAACCGACATTAATGATGATCATATGCCAGGCTTACTGACGTAACCTATTGCAACTGACACGATAACTGTAATCACAGGGATATAACATAAACTGATATCTGAGGAAATGTTTTTTACCAACAGAACAATAACAAGATTCATCATTTCCACAGAAGAATAAACTGGAATAACTGAAATAATGGCAATCTACCAGTGACATAAGGTAACACTGGTATTACATCAATTGTTAGCAGTAAGAAAGCAGACAACCATCCACAGAAGACTTATATATAAAATAACAGACATTACATGAAACAAAGACCAGAAATGCATAAAAAGCAGACACCATTTTAAAACATAAATCACACCCAAAAAAAGAAGACACCATATAAAATAAACACATAACATACACATATTACATGGAACACCACATACAACAAGGTATTTTAAAAATATTTACTTAAACACAAATCTAACATTATAACCGGAAAATACATTGAACCAGACAACGTATAATGACCTGGAAAATAAATTTCTTCGCTTAAATCTAACGGATTACAAACTGGAAGATTATTACTGAACACAAATCTTGCATATCATTAACTGGACAATAGATTTTTACAATTAAATCTAACCTATAAATTAAGAAAAACATTTCGGCACAAAATCTAACCTATCATAAAATAGAACATTAATTTCTACATATGCACTCACCACAAACAGAAAACAAAACAATTCTTGTTATAGGCAGACATATCACAAACAGAAATAATGATATTTAGACAGAAAGAGACATCACAAATCACAGATCATCAACATTTTAAAAACAAACACATCACAAATTGCAGAGACACTGACATTTTGACACAAAGACCTTCCACAGTTGGATAATTGTAGTACCATAACACTGCATGCCATTAGGGCACCAACAGACGTCGACTGAGTTATCAGTTCCCTTCATTTCTGTCAGTCACATTCAATGGAACCTGATGTCTGAGACCTAAATCATTCAGCTAAATTCTTTATCCAAGTCTTGCTTGGTCTGCCTCTTAAAATCTCTTTAATCTACTGAGCCTTGCAGTACTAATCTGGTGAGGTTGGTAAATCTTGTTACATGTCCGTACCATTGCAATTTCTGTCTTTTCACTGTTATTAAAAGAGGTCCATAGTTGCCAATTTGCTAGAAATTATACAACAAACTTCATCCTTCGTGATATGGTCTCTGGATAACAATGAAATATTTCATTCATTCATTGACATTATGTCACACAAGGCTGACAGTCTATTCCTCTATTCTATTCTATCCTGTGTAATCAGTTCCATATCATGGGTGGAATCTAGTCCAACAACTTTAGCTTCTCTCATCATCTTTCCCCTGAGCGGTTCTCTTAAACGTCTTAGTTTCCTCAATCCCGTAATGACGTACTTGCACAAGCAAGAAGACCCACCACAAACAGAAGCCTGGCATCTGCACACAGCTATAACCAACATACACCCATACAAACATTTAACCACCTCTATTCAGAATTTGGAAACCTAAAAAAAACAATGCTGCATTAACTATTTGCATCAGCTGGCGACTGGGAGTAGATCTTCCGTAGCTCGGTCACTAAGGCTGTCAAGTAGGGGTTATCCCCTAAAGATGAGATTTCCTTCAGCAGCCTACCAGACACAAGAAAAAACATTGTATGCAGTTTCTTAGTATTCCAGGTTCAGAAAATTATACTATTTAATTTTTTTTTTTTTAAACAACAACCAGGAGTCATATTAATTTTTGCTAACAAAAAATGCACCACAGCGTATATTCCAGGGAGGTCTCCGTTTTTGAGTCATAAAATATATCTACATTCACTCGCGCGCAAAATTCTATATCTATTCAAATAACGCCATGTCATCTTCTCCAGGAATGTTGTCATAACTCTCCAAATCCCGACCACATCCGTTCATTATTCAGCCAGCACCAGCAGAGTCTGTACTCTGCATGGCCACTCCCCCCGTGTGGATTCTGGGACCCCATTATGGGGAAAACAAGGACAGACCCACTGTCTCCCCAACTAGTATGTCAATTAACTTGGCGCTTTCTTCTAAGTCAAAGTGTATCTTCCCAAGTGGCAAGAAACAACAACAGTATGAGCCCTGGTGCAGGTGCGTCACCATGTGTGGTTCAGCACCTCTGCACCCCAATTGTTGAAAATTGTAACCCTTTCACCTCAAGTCATCACTAATCTAGTGAAAATGTTACAAATCCTTGCGAATCTGTTAAAATGGCATTGCTGCATTGGTCAGTCTCTTATAAGCCTAGTTAATGTTACTGGTTCTGTTTGTGCCTGCAGTCTCTAGGAGTACTGGGTAAGATTATATTTACTAAAATTAGTATATGGGGGAAATAGGTTTGCAGCGAAAAACTTGGGGGTTTAAGGCTTTTTAACAACATTATACACTTTTAGCAGCCATGCAGCAACAAGGTTATGGTTTGAGCCATTGCATAACATTTTTGATTTTAACAGATAAGGACATGTATTTTATTTAATTGTTTGCTTCTTTGCTAAACATTTTTGTCTCAAGTGACCCCCCCCCCCCCCCCCCAACTTTGTAAATGTATGTGCAACAAATTTATTAGCCAAGTGTTTAAGCCCCCCCCCCCCCCCCACCCCCTCTTTTCCCATCAAAAATTAAGTGTGCATGTCATTTCAAAGGGTTGATCATACCACTCAACCTATCATTAACAAGTTTACAAACAATCTGGCACAGGTGGTCTGGGATTCTGTTTCAATAGGAGAAGAAAGCAACATAAGGGGGAAAAAAACTAAAATGAGAAAAGAGAGTTAATGGCCCTTACTGTTCCTCCAGATCTTGTAGAACCTTCCGGGTGTACTCAAAGCTGCCAATCTTTTCCAGGTAATCCACACAATACTTCTTGACATCATTATCCACCGTTCTCTGTCGGAGAATGCCTGCAAATTCTAGTTCAGGAAATCTTCTGAACACACAGTATGGACACACATCATGAGCAAGTGCAAGCACCACATAACAGCTCACTAAATTTTTACTAAATAGCTAAAGTCCTAAAAAAAAAAATCTTTCCACCCCAGTAGTGCATGGTGCAAATGATGACCAATCAGCACTCGATGTGGTAATATCTATAGCTGCCAGGAAATGTTCGTGTACTTTCTTTTCAGACAGGGTTAACATGAGAGTTTTAAACACACCCCCCCCCCCCCCCCCCCCCCCCCCCCCCCCCCCCCACCCCCCCTCCCCCCCCCCCCCCCCCCCCCCAGCTGTTGAATGCAAGAACTTTGAGCCAACGGGCAAGATTCTAAACATTTGTGCTATCATGGCGCCCACAAAGTACATACGGAAGCCATTCATTACATAAATACCAGTCTCTTTTTCTTCAACAATCAGATTGTTCTCCAGTGGATCCCGGCTCACTGCGGCATACCAGGAAATGAGTTAGCAGACAGACTTGCTAAAAATGAAACAAAGGAGAAACAACACACCCATCTATTTTCATTACCAGAAATCAGAACACTTATCAAGGGAAAATACAAGGAATTGTGGAGAGAACAAACAGTAAACATCCATCCACAAGACCATACCAGCAGACTCAACAGAAAACAACAACAAAACAATTTTCCATCTCCGAACAGGAAACTGCAGGCTCAACTACCAGATGCATAAAATAAAGATTGCAAGTCCCCACAGTGTGCCTGTCAAACATGACCACAAACACTTGAGCACATTCTGCAGACCTGCCCACTCTACCTACAACTTTGAAAAGACACCTGGCCTCAAGAGCAAAGTGTGCAGAGCAAGCTATGGGGAAGCTTGCAGGACCTGCAGCTGACATGCGAGTTCATAGAGGCAACCCACCTGATGTGAGTATACGAAACTGAATGCAAAGAAGAAGAAAAAGAAGATGTTCATCAGCAGTAAACTCCTGGGGAAAGTCCTGGTTGCTCATCCACCCAATGATATTGGCCTTCTTCCTTGGCTTCAATGATGAGCTCACATCCAGTCATATGAAAAAAAGTAGCTACCAGTCACATGAATAAAGTAGCTATCGGTCACATGAATAAAGTAGCTATCAGTCACATGAATAAAGGAGCTATCAGTCACATGAATAAAGTAGCTATCAGTCACATGAATAAAGGAGCTATCAGTTACATGAATAAAGGAGCTATCAGTCACATAAATAAAGTAGCCGTCAGTCACAAGTGAATAGTGGGGCCAGAAAGCCTTCATTAGCCCATTACACAAAACTACAAAACCACAGGTATGATTAAGAATACACAGAATCACTTAACTGATGTACCTCCAAAAGAAATCACATTTCTGTCTGGCCAGTAAAATTGCTGACATGTGTGTGGCCAGGTGAAATAAATACTGGCCCGAAAAAAACATGAGCGACTAAAAAGTCACAGTATGACTTATAAAACTGTGCATACTATCATGTACATAGGAAGAAATCCCCCATATCTGTGAACTGTGTATCATGGTTTAATCAGAATGAGATGAAACTTTTCTTTGATGAAGAAATCTGACCATCTTTTATAAATTGCATGATCAGTGAAAATAAACAGAGCATACGCAGACAAAAGGATACTCAAAACTTGAGTGTCATCCGTGTTTGCCCGGATGGCATGGATAATTGGGAATGAAAACTTTCCCTCTGTCAAATCCTCACAGTAGCTCTTGTTAGCTTCGTACTAGATTACATAGGAGAGCAAAAAATACATTAAACACAAGAATGGATGGGGCAGCAAGTTTTACATTAGGTATTTTATGTTGAATTAACCCTACCAGACCTGAGGCGCTGAACCTAACTGTTCCCTATACCTGAGCTCCCGGGTTATAACAGGGAAAAAGCCAACATGATGTACAAAAATATTAGTTACATGCAAACAAGTGGTTAGAATAAGATAAAACTTGGAGACATTGTAGAAAATAGGTTTACCTTTCATCTAGCGCCAATCTTCCACCTTTGTGTGCCAATCCCCACCTAGCAGGATCAGTCTTGTTTCACAAAATGAGCACCAAATGTTGCTGTTTAAGGGATACGCCCCCTTCTCTTACTATCGATCTAGTTTTAAATCTATAGTTTTCATAATTCTCCTCCTCACTCTAGCTCTCACTGACTGTGTCACTTCAACTGGGAACGTATTCTTTATGAACATATTCACAGTCTGAATCAACCAAAGTATCGATCACCTGTTGGACCATGAAAAGCCTAGACCTACGTCACTTTCTTGTCGAAGCCGCTCGTTTCATTAAGAATTTCCCGAATTTTTTTTACATTCAACCACACAAAGAAATCTCAACACACGTGGAAAGTCATTCCCAATGACTAACCACGAAGTCTGATAGTGACTGGTTAGTTAATTTTAGTCTGTGACGCATATGTTTCACGTACTATGCAAATTCCCGAAAAACCAGGCCGGCGGTATAGCACCAGGTTAGGAAATTCCAGAAAAATCGGGCCAGCGGTCTGGTAGGGTTGAGAATCGACATAACAGCCCTCAGGACATCTTCAGCAGCAAGTGAAAAGTTCCAATTTTGATGGTCCCAGTAACTGTCTGATTATATATCCTCCTCCCCTTTCCCCAGAGTGTTGAGTGCCAGCCAGATCACCTTGTAACTCATTACAGCGCCATTCTCCTCAGACCATAATGATCTAAATGTGCCTCCGCACTGTTCAATCACTCCCAAAGAGCCCTCACAACATCCAGCCTGTCATACATCAGTTCACCACTAAGCGGTGCAGAACCGACCAGTCAATCTGCCTGCTCATTTCCCAACACACCAGCATAACCTGGAGAAAATATCCAAAGGATGCTAACTACCATGGGACCTATGAAGTGATGCTTGCCACTCTGCACGGAGCATGCCTATCTCCACCTTTCTCAGCATGCTCTGTGAGTCAGTTACAATTATAACATGTGCGTACAGCTGATTCTGCCAAGCCAGCAGAAGGCAGCGGTGACTGCCTCCACCTCCATTCTCAAACTAGACGTTGTGATGTCATATGCCAGGCTGTGCTGCATCAAGCAACATTCTTTCGCTTTTGCTATAAACCCCCATGAACTTTGTCTGCCCCTCAACACAGAGCCATCTGTATAGATAATCACATCACCGGGGCAGGAACTGTCATGAAACTGCTTCCATGAACTGTATTTGAGTGTCAAACTGTTTGTGTTGCTACTTCTGACGGCTGCCTTATGCATTTAACAGGTGAGTATGCTACTGGCTTTGCTGGGACTGCGTTTCGTGTCAATGTGTTTCACAAGGAACTGTGACAGGCATTCTGTGTGGATTTTGTTGGGGTACAGGACTGGAGCAACTATGGGGTGACCTGTTTTCTATGAAGCTGAACTGCCATTACCTGATATACACATTTTATAGAGCATTCCCAGGGATTGCTGCAGGAGCTATAAAATTCATGCGTTGTGTGACATCATCCAGAGGCAGCTAGTCATTTTGCACAGACTAAGCAATTTTGCAGGCAATGAGTTTCATCTATACACTCTTCAAACTTATAAACACACAATTATGTTGCAGCTTCTCTGAGTAAATCACTGCTATCATAGCCTAGTGGAAAGACATTAAACCTCTTGCCGATTTCAGTACCTCACACACTTTCACACTGGGCCTCTCACACTTTCACACTGGGCCTCTCTCCCTTTTCCTCTTCACACACATGTACATATGCCTCATATTTATATTTCCTGCACGTTAAGAAATGACTATGACCCAACTTTACCTCTTTAGAACACAGATTTGCATAGTCGTCCCTGATCTGAAAGTACAGACCTAAAATGTCCAACAGGGGCTTGAAATTGCTGCAGACAAGACAACAAAATTGTTTCATGAAAGCAGACAAAGAAACCAGACTGGGCTTGTACATGAAAATATGATTGTTTTTAGCATTGTAAAGATTCTGCTCTAAGCCGCTAAATATCACCCCTGGATCACCACAGGGATCAGCAATTTCACCAATGCTTCTTATTGTGTCTACGAGCAAGACTGCGGAACTTGAAGCATATGGTGCCAGAAGCAGTCCTGTGCGGTAGATTTTCTCAGGATGATGCAAGTCTTTGACATGCTAGCCCAAACAGCTTTGAACTGCCAGATCACAATTCAAGTTTTATTTTTGAATTCGCTGCATATGCTTCTCCCCCTAAAAAGTGCTTCCTGATGCCGTCTTTTCTCTGTATTATAGCATCGCACGAACCTGGTCAGAATGACACAGATTTATGTGGATGATGTTTTTGCATAAAGTCAGAAGAGAAATGGGCACAAAACACCTAAAAGCCAGCCACAAGCAACAGTGGACAAAATATGTAGCTGATGTGACAGCTGTCACCAACCCAGAAAAGGTGGCTGTTTTATTATACCCTCTGGATAATAGGATGGTTGGAGCTGATGTCTCCCAAGCCTCAAAATTAATGACAGAATCATCAAAAGAGAGACTTAGTCATCCTTCTCCTGACTCTCCTCCAAATTCTCCCTCTTCTTTTGCTCCACATGTTTTTCCTTCTCCTCACTCTTTTTCATCTCCAGTCCATTATCTCTTAGCATCTGCAGGTGCTGCTTCAATCTCCCCACTGTCCAGACTAATCTTCCATACATCAAATGTATCCCGCATATACAAAGCCTGTTATGCTCATATAGCAAAATACACACTATGAGTATAGGCTAAAAATACAAAAGCATGGATGGCGATTAGTTAGTTAGTTAGTTAGTTCTTTCCTCTTGTGTCGAGTGCGGCACATAGGGCAGAGGTCATGACTCTCCATGCATGGCGGTTCGTTGCAATCCGTTGTAGGTCTTGGCTGTTTGAGTGGCCCATGAGCGAGCCTTCCCTGATGATAGTTCTACGTAGAGTTTCCCTTGGTCTTCCACGATTACAGACATTCAAGTATTCACATGCGCATATATATTTATATGTATCATCATCATCATGTAGCAGGTCCTTTGCAGAACGTCACTCTCATCATGGTCTGCCTGAAAGAAACTCGGTCTCTCGCCAGTTCTCCCGCCTCATGTACTTTCATACTCAAGGAGTCACTTATATCCTGTGCCCATCTTCGTGTCAGTCGGCCCCTGCCCCTCCTTCCTGGTACCATGCCTTCTGCTATAATTTTTTCCAATCTGTCGCCATAGCGCTTGATATGACCAAAATATTTCAGCTTCCCAGACAGGATGCTGTTTTTTAGCCAATCTTCCTTGATGTTAAGATCTTTCAAGATGTCATTATTTCTCCTCTTCTTTGTCCAAGATATTCTGAGAATCTTTCTATAGCATTTCAGCTCAAAAGCCCCTATTCTTTTGCTTAAAGACAGAGATAATCAACGACTCACATCTGTATGTTGCTACAGGAAAGATATATGCTCTCAAAATTCTAATTTTGATTTCCTTAACCATAGACTTTTAAGGCTGTTTAATCTTTGCATTGCTATGGCCATCCTCCTTTTAATTTCTGTCAGTCTCCATTGCTGTTTAGTATAGAGCCTAGATATTCAAAGTTTGTGACATTTTCAATTTATTCATCATTTATTGTTATTTTTGGGTGACCGCCAGTTTTATCTGTGGACATTATTTTCATTTTCTTTAAATTTAAGAACAGATTTTGATCTTCACTGTGCTTTTGGACAGACAATATTACATTTTCTATTCCCTTTACGCTGTTAGAAAGGAGGGGGGGGGGGGGCCAGGGAGAGAGAGAGACACACACACACACGCACATACATATATGCACACACACCTACTTATACACTTATAGATAAAAAGACTGAGTCAGACTGGATAGTACTTGCTGCAATGAAGTACCTGGTGCAATGAAATATGTGGTGCAATGAAGTACCTGATGCAATGAAATATCCGGTGTAATGAAATATGTGGTGCAATGAAGTACCTGATGCAATGAAGTACTTAGTGCAATGAAATATATGGTGCAATGAAATATATGGTGCAATGAAGTACCTGATGCAATGAAATATCCGGTGTAATGAAATATGTGGTGCAATGAAGTACTTAGTGCAATGAAATATATGGTGTAGTGAAGTACCTGGTACAATGGAGTCCCACTATTTCAGGTTAAAGAGCTATAACTGACAATCTCCTAGACTGTACAAACAAAATTAGACTCAGGTTGGTAATCTTTCTAAAAATAACAACCCTGCAAACACAAGCATCTAATATCTCAACAATAAACCACGAGTACTTTGTTTTCTGCTCACCTTTTATTGGTGCTAAAGAGCTGCATCAGTTGTACGGCCAGGCCAAACAAACCTCCGGTCTCTGGTTACAAACAGACAAATTCAAGCATTTATCAATCAGCACGTCCTTTACAGAATCTCACTCTCTTCACGGCACCCCTGAAAGTCTCTTTTTCTCTAGCCAGTACTCCAGCCTAATGTGCTTTCACAGCCTATACATCTTAAAATATCCTGTATTTCCCTTCGCAGAGGCCAGCTGCTGCCCATGTGTTTATAAGAATGTTAATATAGTGGCAAAGAATACAGCTGATCATCTCATTATGCTTTACATTTTAAACCGCAATATGTGCCATGGGACCACCTTTTACACTCATCTAACACATAACATATTAATTCTTTCATAACTAAGAAACACAATATAACCTGATTTATAAGTATTGTAACTGTCCGCTGGTGTTGAAAGAGTAAAATCCCCGTGTGGGTTTCAGAGCATGGGTGGTGGGGGTGTAGACACTGAGGGCGTCTGTCTGAGAGGTGAGGAACCAAGTCTTCAAACAAATAAGCCAGATCTATTAAAAAAAAAAAAGAATGTGCATGCAAAACTTAAATTCTGAAAAAGGACCAAAGTCCAGAAGTGGATGAACAGCCAGAACTTTCTGCCAGAGTGTACAGCAGGTAAACGCAAAGAAGAAGATGAAAGAGTGTCAGATGTGTGTTACTGCTATACGAGAAACATTTTACTGCAAGGTATCAAACACTTTAAACAAAAACAGTTTTGTTACTAAAAAAAAAAATAACAGAACCCCATTCACGCCTTCCAGGCACCTTTTAGGCTTGCAGCCGAGCATTTAGCCACTGTGCTATAAGAGCTTTCAAAGAAACATATGAATCAATGTTTAGTAAAAAAAAGTGAAATAATTTGAAAAAGGAAATGAAGACTTAACTAAGAAAGGTATGGAAAGAAGTGAGATGGTCAACTTACTCCATGTTGCAATGAGGGACAGGACAAAACAATACAAAATTATTTAACTTCCCTGTGTGATTTCTAGAGTCCCATTTAAAAAAAAAAGATTTGCTGATACTGTATGTGCTGGACCAAAAGGCACAGATATCACTGCCTAGCTGTAAACAAAACGTCCACCTGCCAACCACCTTTTTAAGGGCAGATGAAGAAGAAGAAGAAGAGAAAGTGACTTACTTCTGATAACCATCAGCTTGTACTCCTCTTCAGTCGGACACACGACAGCATCTCTCCAGTAGATGTCCATCCCTTGTCCCCGATGAAGTTCTAACAAATGTTCTGTGCAGAACAGAACATACATTCTTCACTAAACTGAATGTTCTGTATAGAACACAAAAGATATTCTTTACTGAGTTAATACAGATGGAATCTTCTGTTGATGCTAAAGAGAGTAACAAACAATGTCCATGACAGAATGTCAGCTCTCATGAAAGCCCACCAGAAGGACTTGATTCTTCAACAGTTTTCCTACCTCATGCTATTTCGCAACAAGCGTGTATTTAATGTTCTGTGTTTACCACTGTCTTCATGAGTCCATGTCTTGCCTTCATGAGTCCATGTCTTGCCTTCATGAGTCCATGTCTTGTCTTCATGAGTCCATGTCTTGTCTTCATGAGTCCATGTCTTGTCTTCATGAGTCCATGTCTTGTCTACATCAATCCATGTCTTGTCTTCATCAGTCCATGTCTTGTCTTCAACCAGCCGTGACTTCCATACTTACTAATTCTAAACAGCTGTGAAGCTTCTTATGTTTTCCGTAGTTTCGTTTTTAAGACAATATACTATGAGACAGGAAGCAATTAAACACAACACAGTGATTAGAAAGCTCAATGTAGTAAAAGGTCAAGAGTCACACAAATATAATCAAATGTTTTCATTGGTATTTGTACGCAGACAAAACAAGAGACTTAAAAAAAAATTGCAAATTCAACACGAAAACAGAAAAACAAAATCTATTTACGCCTTTTTGTTAATGAGTCAATCTTCTTCCATGCTGAAGTCTTATACTACCCACATTCAAGCTGTGACATGAAAGTTGTAGGCTCTCACCATTTTTTTTTTTTTTTTTTAAAGTTTCGTGAGGCAGCCACCGTGGTGCAGTGGCTTGATACTCACCTGTGGATCAGAATGTCATGGGTGTCCTGACAGAGCATGGCTTTTTTTTTTCTTCTTCAAAAATTAATTTAGCTTCCAGTCGACCCAGCCATTAGAGGGTACCAGGTAAAGTCCTAGGATGTATGAAGTAAAAGCAGCCGGCATAATGCTGACCACATCACCCACCAACTAGTCTATGAAATATATGTCTAGCCCTATATGCCCATTATGCCTGAAGGTGAGGAAAATGGACCTTTACTTTTATTAGTTTGTGAGAATTATGTCATAGTCTTTTCATACTGTTTACCATCATAATGTCTGAAACAACACCATTTAACATGATACTGTTTAACCTCCTAATGTTTAACTTCACAATTTAACATCACATAGTTGCTAAGCATACAGTTAAACATCAACACCACTACAGCCAGAGACACAATACCAATAAAGTCTTTAACATAAGGCAGGTAAACTCCACAAAGATTTAACATCAACACCACTGCAGCCAGAGACACAATACCAATAAAGTCTTTAACATAACGCAGTTAAACTCCACAAAGATTTAACATCAACACAACTGCAGCCAGAGACACAATACCAATAAAGTCTTTAACATAAAGCAGTTAAACTCCACAAAGATTTAACACCAACACCACTGCAGCCAGAAATACACAACTACAATACTAGTGAAATATTTAACATCGTGCAGTTAAACAACATACTGTTTAACATCAGATACAAAATAACAATACCAGTGAAATGTTTAACATCATGCAGTTAAACAACATACTGTTTAACATCACATACAAAATAACAATACCAGTGAAGACTCGGGTTGTCTCGCCAAGCTTGCCCAAGGTAAACAACTTCTCCAGGCCAAGGAAGTAAACATAGTTGGCAGTGTTTATTGTTTGTGGAACACCAAAAATGGAATGGGTAACTGCAAGAGAACAAACAAAACAATTATGTTAACTCAAGTTCTTTTTCTTCTGGTCTTCTGCTTTGACCAAACCCTTCAGGCAGACAGTGTCAAGGTTAAAAAGGGTTATTTTGACATAAATTGTCTGATTTGCTTCAAAAGAACCTGTTTCAAAATGAATAAATTCACATCAAAAGTCTGTCTCTTGATCGCACTGCATTTTTTTTTATGTAACTTCTGCAGGACGCCACCATATTTAGGGAATTTTTTTCTGCTGTTGCTGCTGTTGCTTTTTCTTCTGCTTCTTTTTCTGCCCTCTGCTCATTCTTCAGCTGCTGCTAATTCTTCTGCATTCATCGACTTGTTTATATTGCTGCATGATAGCTGCTTTATGTATTTTAAAACAACTGCAATATTAATCCACTCGCCCCAAGAACTTGAAAAAAAAATGTTGTCACAACCCTCTTTGAAATTCCAGAAAAAAAATCCTTGCCATTTTTTTGTATGCACGTCAATAATACATTTCTTAGCAATTTATTTATCAAATTGGATCATTTTTGTCTAGAAATATATATAAAGATATACAAAGGAAGAAATAAACATGAACAGAGTCAAGCATCCAATAGACTGCAATCCCAAGTGGCTCAAAAAACATAAATACTGGGTGACCCATACCGTAACCTATGTAACCGAGGCCCACAACAAAATTCTGACGTCAGCCGCTTTAAAAAAGCTATTTGACTCAAATACTCAACTGCTATCTTTAGTTAATGTTTCATATCTTGACCTAAATGTCTGCGCAGGTGCAAACACAGCCAATAGCATTAACTATGCATCTTATAAAAGGTCACTACAGACAAGACAGAAAAGTGACGTTTACAAGGAACTGGGCCCAGTTGGAAGAGTTGGTTTTGTGGCAAAGGATCATCATTCAACACAGCTTAATTTCATTTAGTAAATTCATTTAACTTGTTTATATTTCTCTAACTAAAACAGGTAGGTGAATTGATAACATCTTCACATCAGACGGAAGAATGGACACAGAGATCTAGTCAAGAATCTAGCAAACAAACAGTGTCCCCTATCAACTTTCCTCAATTCTACTTTTGGAAACTAAAACACAAATCATAAACATAATCTTTTTACAAACATTATGTTATCAAAGTCAAACCTGGGTATTAAAGAAAGAACAATAGCGGACACTAATGATGTGTGAAATGAGATGTTTGAGAAAAGCAGTCAACACAACAGGAAAAGACCATAAAAGAAACGAAGATATCATTAAAATGATGGGAACAAAACCTGTGACTTGATTCATTGAAAAACAAAGACCGAATTGGTTTGGCCACTGGTCAGAATAAACCCAGCGTCAATGGTCGTAACAGTATACAACATGAGAATGGAAACATCAAGAGACAGAGGAAGGTAAAGATGAAGATGGACAGACAGGAGTTAACAACTTGCTGAAACTCAACAATATCTCTGGGAAGCAATCTAAAGAGTGCGTATTATACCAGAAACTGATCATTTGCCATGCCTGTGACACCTAATAGCATTAGGCAGAGAAAGACAATGAATATAGATATTTGCCCCCTTTTTCTCCATCCGCCTTCTTACCTGTATTGTTTTGCAATATAGCCCTTCATATCTGTAACACCCCCCCCCCCTTCTCCAATACATGTCTTGGTGTCATGTCAACACCCTGGTTTTTTCTTTTAGAAGCCCGTTGTCTGATCCATTGAGTTTTTCTGTCATAGTTTGTGTTGTATTTGGTACGTCGCTGATAAAGACTGGTCAAAACTTTCGGCTGTAATTGTTCGCATATTTTTCATTCCCTCTATCGAGCTTTCTGATCTTATTTTGTGTTGTATTTAGCACATCCAACAAAAACAGTAACTTCTTTGGTTACATCCAATTTAAAAAATACATTTTCCCGTATATATCCAATAAAAATAGAAACTTCTCTGGCTATATAATTAATTAAAATAGTAACTTCTGTAGTTATATCCATTTTTTTTTAAACAGAAACTTCTGTGGTTATATCCAATTAACTTTTTCGGTATCCGGGATTTAGCATCATAAATGAAATTCCAAAAAGAGACTATTCTAATTCAGCTGCCGTGCAACATACAGATATTATACATCAAAGTTACCAGGGAATGTTGAGAAATAATATTAGGACACTACTACAACAAATAATTGTATTAGTTGTTAAGTATTAGTAAATAAAAGATGACGTATTTGGAGAAATTAGTAACATGAAATAACAATTTTTCCACTTACAGTCATGGTGCTGAAGGAAAACTCAATCAAATATATTCATAATGAATCACAAATTAACATCAACCACTTAGTAATGTGTAAATATTAACTATCTGAATGCACTATAACTATCATGAATACTACTAAAGATAGCAGTTTAGAAGAGGGAGGGGGTTGGAAAGCTTCTGGAACATCATCACAAAGTGACGTGACGTGACTTGAGTCCACAATAAGACACCTACGGACCAGTAGCCTTTAATCAACTTCATGGTTATGGGCTCACACTTAAGGCAGCCTGTAACCTACAACAGCTAGCCACTTACATAATAACTGACCCGAGACTATGCCCCCCAGCATACCATGTCTCCCCAACACAGTCATGAGTCAGAACAATGAACTGACTAGAGACTCCATTCAGTATGTCTCCCCAACACAGTCATGAGTCAGAACAATGAACTGACTAGAGACTCCATTCAGTAAGTCTCCCCGACACACAGTCGCGAGTCAGAACAATGAACTGACTAGAGACTCCATTCACTAAGTCTCCCCGACACACAGTCGCAAGTCAGAACAATGAACTGACTAGAGACTTAATTCAGTAAGTCTCCCCGACACACAGTCGCAAGTCAGAACAATGAACTGACTAGAGACTCCATTCACTAAGTCTCCCCGACACACAGTCGCAAGTCAGAACAATGAACTGACTAGAGACTCCACTCAGTAAGTCTCCCCAACACAGTCATGAGTCAGAACAATGAACTGACTAGAGACTCCACTCAGTAAATCTCCCCAACACACAGTCATGAGTCAGAACAATGAACTGACTAGAGACTCCACTCAGTAAGTCTCCCCAACACACAGTCATGAGTCAGAACAATGAACTGACTAGAGACTCCATACAGTAAGTCTGCCCAACACACAGTGATGAGTCAGAACAATGAATCGACTAGAGACTCCATTCAGTAAGTCTCCCTGACTCAGTCATGAGTCTGAACAATGAACTGACTAGAGACTTAATTCAGTAAGTCTCCCCGACACACAGTCGCAAGTCAGAACAATGAACTGACTAGAGACTCCATTCACTAAGTCTCCCTGACACACAGTCACAAGTCAGAACAATGAACTGACCAGAGACTCTATTCACTAAGTCTCCCTGACACACAGTCGCGAGTCAGAACAATGAACTGACTACAGACTCCATTCAGTAAGTCTCCCCGACACACAGTCGCGAGTCAGAACAATGAACTGACTACAGACTCCATTCAGTAAGTCTCCCCGACACACAGTCGCGAGTCAGAACAATGAACTGACTACAGACTCCATTCAGTAAGTCTCCCCGACACACAGTCGCGAGTCAAAACACTAGCGAGGAATTCTCTCAACTGCTGCAGATAAAGTGTTGGGCTCTCACTGGAGCATTCCGAATTATACACCACTTCCTAATGAAAAGTCTAAACTCTTCCCACATAATAAAATAGTACACAGAATTACGAATAAAGGTCACAGACACCCGCAGATGTACGCTCTGTCGTATCGACCCAGAGGCACTGACTGGACACAGATTAACCTTCAGCACTGCGGCTGGTCACGCAATAGCCACGGAGACCACTGTCACCCGTTAATCTCAAGAAACACCCGTCTCAAAACTTTGAGCAGCGTGGACCTATTGCACTCTTCTCTGTTATCACCATCATCTAGCGCCTTATGACTGGCGGTGGCGATCACGCCTCTGACCTCTGGCACAACTGAACAGCAAAGTGAGTTCAGCATACAACAATCAGTCAGTCAAGACAGACCATATATGGGTATTTTCTGTGTGCAATGACATTGAGTCTGCACATTCACCCACTTAGAAATCATGTCCTTTTGAGCATCTGAAAGCAAGGGATCAACCACGTAACTTAATATGAAATATCTGAACAGATTTTAAAATAAAATACAAACTAGTTTTACATGTTTAAAACATAGTCTTACCTGGAATGCCTCGGCGTAACTTGGAATTGTCTTCTATGTCATCAATGCTAGTTCAAACAAAAGACAAGAAAACACTGTTACTGGCTCAACAAGAGAGGGTTTTTCTTCTTCTTCTTCCATGTCAGCCCTTAAAAAGTCAGTTAGCATGTTGGGTTACGGTTTACAGATAGGCAGTGAAATTTGTGTCTTTTGGCCCAGTGCATCCTATTTGATGGTTCGCGGATCGTAACAAAACAAACAATATACCTGAACTTTTGAACTGCAAGCCTTTTTTATTGTATTTCTACTTCCTCTCTGGCCTTTCAGCATGAGGTTTTGAAGTGGCATTGGGTGCGCGCCTTGGTATGTGTTATGTAGACGCTGGTGTTTATGGTCTTGGATATTCTATCGATCCATTGTTCGTGTGGTTGACCTCTAACTCTGCTTTCATTAAGTCTAAGTGTCAGGGCTCTCTGTGGCGCACTATCTGATGGTAGTCTTGATGCATGACTGAAACATTTGATCTGTTGTCACTTGATGTAGTTTAATACTTTTTTGTGTCCCAACTTCTTCCCCGATATCTTCATTTCTGATCCTGTCTCTTCTAGTTACAATCAGAATTCATTGTAGAAATGTCATTTTTTCGTTCATCATTAATGTCCAGGTTTGGCACTGGTAATACAATGTTAGTAAAACGTATCACAATGTTGGTAAAAAAAAATTGTACTGAATAGTGCTCTCTTTTGGTGTCAATTGTTACATGTTCTGCTCAACTGGTTGACATCTGCCCAATAATTTGATTTTCTTTATTACATCTTTGCTTCAATTTTTCCACTGGACATTTTGCTGTATAGATTTTTGCATTTTTAATATTTTTAACTTACTGTAAACTCTTCAGTAGGACTAATAGAAAGAATAGGGTTCATGGAAGACTTTTGAAAATATGACGGTTCCATCGGTCCCGGCTAACTGTGAACCCAGGCCAACAATATCACAATCTGGGAATCCCTGGCCAACAATACCACAATCTGGGAGCCCCTGGACAACAATATCACAATCTGGGACCCCTGGACAACAATATCACAATCTGGGAACCCTCAAAATCATGGGACCCCCCCCCCCCCCCCCCCCCCCCCAACAATATCACAATCTTATAATTTTTAGAATAACATGTGTGAAGACAATTTACATATAATGTACACAGTATACACTTTATCACAAATGTTAATCACTAAATAATTAAAGGGACCCTTTTCAAACCTTCAGGCATATTGGGCATACACAACTAGATCTGTGTTTGATAGATAAACTGGCTCTCCGTTATTGATGCGGTCAGCAGCACACCAGCTGCATTTACTTCCCAGAACTTCCCCTATTACCCCGTGAGGGTTCTGTCGACCCCAGAGCCTTTTCTACAAAATGTCAGGCTCCACCAGGACATGAACCCATGACCTTCGGATTCACAGGCAAATGTCTAGCCGCTACACCACCGTAGCTCCCAAAAATGAAAAAAAACATTATAATTATGTATTTGGAAAAAATTTGCCTGCAGACATATGGTGTCATTTATCTGGTGTAAAAGTTGTTAAAATCATGAATCGGTTGTTTTCTTCCTAAAGAAAATTATGAAAGTGATTACAAGCACATAATTTATTTCGAATAATATGCACCAAGAAACAGTTTATAAATTTAGATGATATAAAATATTTACTGAGGTGAACTGGGAGGTATTTGATCTCTCCCGTAATTTAGGTTTAGCTAATAACTGGGTGATGGAAATTCTTGTATTGGAAACATCTGCACTGACTAGGTGACACATCTGGAAGATCTCTTTTGCAGACGATGTTGTTAAGTAAGCACAGCAATGACATGTACAGAAAAACAGATGCTTTTGCAAAAGTAGCATCAAAAGTTATACTAAGTAACGCCAAAGACAAAAAGAATTAAAGTAACAGATTAATTTACTTATTTAAGATAGTCTTTCTAGTCTGTAGCGGTGTCTGTGGCTTAGGCGTTGCGAGTCTGACTCGTACTCCAACATACCGGGGTCGAAACCCACTGCTGGCTGCGTGGATTTTTATCATGGTATGGGGCGTCGCGGATCAACTCAGCCTAAAATGGGTACTAGGATGGCTGTCCTGGGGAAAGAAAGACGGCCGGCCAAATGCTGACCACATTGCCCATCCAGTGCCGATTGGTCTGTAAAAATATGGGACGCTCTTCCCATATACCCGATGCGCCTAAGGGGTGAAAAGGGATCTTTACTTTTACCTTATTTCTAGTCTGTGGTAAATTCTCCCCTGCTAGTCTTTCTAGTCTGTGGTAAATTCTCCCATTAGTTTTTCTAGTCTGTGGTAAATTCTCCCCTGATTGTGTTTCTAGACTGTGATAAATTCTCCCCTGCTAGTCTTTCTACTCTGTGGCCGTCTCAACTAAAAAATATCCAACCCTCAAATTCTTGCACAGAATTTCTACTTGGTAGCCACTTTCTAACTGCTAACCACTCTAGTTTGGAGTCAGTTCTCCTCAAAAATATTTGTACTAGAATTTCCCTTAAAATAATAACATCCTATTCCAACGGCACACCCAGAAACAAATAAAATATGCAAGAGTAAACATACATTAAACTTGCATTATGCAACATCTGTATGACTTCAGAGATGATCTTCATCTTGTCCTCCGGAATCTGCAGCCAATAATTGAATGCCTGCAAAGAAGTCAGAGACCAATGATATACAAACTGCTAAAATTTCTAAAACATTTTTGTAACCTATCACAAGTGGTACCTTTCTATCTTTCCTGATGATAGTTACTTAGTTTAGCTAGTCGACAGATCTTCCTCACTACACATCTAATCACTCAGTTCCCTCCTCAGTCAATCCCGCAGCGTGCAGCAGCTGACAACACCAGTTCTGTGTTGGTTTCTTATTCTTCTTTGGCTTCCTGCACAGTACTGTTGTCTGGCCACACCCTTTTAATAATATATTATTCTTGCAGTCTGGTCATGGCTGAAGATTCACAGTCATCACTTGGTTCTCACACATGTCTTACTTCCAGATGACAGTGTGCCACAGGGAGGCATGAGAATCACAGATCACGGTGATGGAGAGTGTGACTAACAAGAACAGCTCAGGTTAAGAATCCTCCAGAACAAGTGCATGAGATTTCAGGACAACTGATGCCTTCTCATGTATCCCACATGTTTCATTTCAGACCCTCTGCTTTTGACTTGTCTGCAATGCCTCTTTACTTAGTCCCCATTCCCTTCCTGATTTTCCCTCCATGCAATGTAGTTCTTTGCAACAAGTCCCCAAGAAATCCACCTCAACAGCTGTCTCATTTATGTCCTACTTTATATTGTACTAGAGGAAGACCCTGACATCTTTCACCAATCTGTAATCCACCACAGAGATGTCTTTAAAAACTCTGTCATCCTCCAAGTGTTTCCTGACCAACAGAGCCTTTGAAGACTGATAAAACTATTAAGATAGAAGTATACTAGAAAGAGAATGTTATTCAATTAAACTTTAGGCAACGATTTCAAAGGTTCAGTGAAATATGGAATCTGGTGACTCTGGTTGGTACTCTATGGCATAATAAATTTAAAAAAAAACTCATGTAGTTGCACTGAAGAAGTGAACTGCAAGCCTGAGCACAACAATCCCCTCTGTGCAAACAATAAGACTACACTTTGCTATATTTTTAGCTTAAAAAATTTACACAACATACATGGTAACCAATAAACATACGAGTTACATCCTTGCTGCATTTATTGTCTGCTATGTCTTCAGAGTAAGATATTTACATATGTGATATAGAACGAACATACAGTGAATGAGATTAGATTAGGATTTTCTTTCTAAACGTTCAATCATACTGTTCGAACAAGAATATATATATATATATATATATATAAGTACATACATTTACATATGTGAAATAAAACAGTGAATTAGATTAGGACAGCATTTTTATTAAAACGTTAAATTGTACTGTTCAACTTAAGCATACTTTGTACAGAACAAGACAAAAAGGGAAATTTGTATATCAAGAAGATTTAAACAGTGAAACATGGAAATAGCCATTAAACAGAGAAAAAAAATGAAAATCTTTTAGCAGTAAAACATGGAAGACCCCCCCCCCCCCTTCCCCAGAAAAAAGACAAAAAAGGACATTCCTATTTCAAGCAGATTCTAGCAGTAAAACATGGAAGCAGACCCCCCAAAAGGACATTCTTATTTCAGGCAGATGTTAGCGGTAAAGCATGGACATAGGGCACTAAACAAGATAATGTTAGCGGCAGAGCATGGACGTAGGGCACTAAACAAGATAATGTTAGCGGCAGAGCATGGACGTAGGGCACTAAACAAGATAATGTTAGCGGCAGAGCATGGACGTAGGGCACTAAACAAGATAATGTTAGCGGCAGAGCATGGACGTAGGGCACTAAACAAGATAATGTTAGCAGTAGAGCATGGACATAGGGCACTAAACAAGATAATCTTACAGATGATAGTTTTGTTCTTATCTGCTTGCCTGGTATCTGACAGATGTATCTGTAGGGAGCCAGCAAAATCTGTCATGAGGAAGAAAACAAACAGAAACATTACTTCCTCTGCCTATTCACTTTCCCCGGCTGTAAACTCCAGCAAAAAGTTATGTTTGTTTAGGCTTAAATGACTTATGAAAATCATGGCACAAGAGTAGTAACCCATAAGTGCTCCAATCTACTTCTAACTCAAGCCTGAATCTGAAGAATCGCAGCGTAGTGAACGAACTCTGTATCCCCGGTGAGGATCCTGCAATATTTTGGGTAAATTTTTAACTCCAAATTTTGCTCAGGTAGTGCTGTTAGGCTACTGTTTTTCAATTTCCAACTGCCAAGGGATTTTTAAATTAAGCAACAATACATGCAGGCCTCCAATCTTACAACACAGAGACCAGGGGAAATTACTAGAAGTCCACATGAAAAAATCCTAGCCTTCTGTTTTCCCCATAATAGTGCCTCATAACCCACACTGGAAAGAAACATTACTATAAAAGAGCACCATAACTGTGGCCAAGGTTTTGTGATATATTTCGTCTTTTCATCTCCAGCCAAAAGTTTTGGTTGTTGGTCCACTTCAGGACTCTATTCTAGAACTTCAAGTTTCGCATTCACATCTGCTTTAACCCTCTGGAGACGACATGGCCAAATATCGGCCCAACGTGAAGTAGCCAAAAGGACAGCTGGGCCGATCAGTCGGCCATGTGTAATAAAAGCCTTGAGATTGGCTGGCAGGTTTTTGTACCAGCCAGTCAGATTGCTTCTCTCATTTCTTGCACATGTGGCTGTTTAATGACGGCTTTCAAGAAAGTTTGATGTGTTCTTTAATTTTACAGCAATTTTTGTGTGGGCTTACCTGTGCCCAACGCCAGCGAAAAGGCCTGTTGCCTCATAGCATCTAATCATGAATAAATTGGTTCATGAACACAATTTTCAAACAATTGTTAACTCAACCCGCAAACAAAAATGCCTCGACACATAAATACACAAACATAGCTTTGACACCATGGTTTCAGCTCACAAACGACATCAGCTGCACTCATGCTTGCACGTTGGGAACACTGTTGTTTAGGTTTTCTTTACACAATCCATGTTCCCATTAAACTGACTCATTATGGCTCCCAAGAAAGTGGAAAGGGTTAGTAACAGTGGCGTAGAGAAGCATATGCGTATTACAGTAGAAACACAGATGAAAATAACTAAATATGAGAGTGGTGTGTGTGTTTCTGATCTTGCCCAAGCTGTTGGACATGGCTAAATCTACAATCTGTACTACATTAAAGAACAAAGATGCGTTAAAAGATGGATGATGTGGTTAAAGGAGTGATTATGTTAAGTATAGGTACCTAGTGTTAGCAGAAGTAGACAAATGTGGGCTAGTTTGGATTAATAAAAAGCAGCCTGCTGGAGATAGTGTGTTAGTAAGTCCCTAATGTGTGCGAAGGCTGCAGATAATGTGTTAGCAAGTCCCTCAGATGTGCGGAGGCTGGAGATAAGTGTGTTAGCAAGTCCCTCAGATGTGCGGAGGCTGGAGATAATGTGTTAGCAAGTCCCTAATGTGTGCGAAGGCTGCAGATAGTGTGTAAGCAAGTCCCTCAGATGTGCGGAGGCTGGAGATAATGTGTTAGCAAGTCCCTAATGTGTGCGAAGGCTGCAGATAGTGTGTTAGCTAGTCCCTCAGATGTGCCGAGGCTGGAGATAATGTATTAGCAAGTCCCTAATGTGTGCGAAGGCTGCAGATAGTGTGTTAGCAAGTCTCAGATGTGCGGAGGCTGCAGATAGTGTGTTAGCAAGTTTCAGATGTGCGGAGGCTGGAGACAGTGTGTTAGCAAGTCTCTCAGATGTGCGGAGGCTGGAGACAGTGTGTTAGCAAGTCCCTCAGATGTGCGAAGGCTGGAGACAGTGTGTTAGCAAGTCTCTCAGATGTGCGGAGGCTGGAGACAGTGTGTTAGCAAGTCTCTCAGATGTGCGGAGGCTGGAGATAGTGTGTTAGCAAGTCCTCTCAGATGCGAGAAAGCTCTTCTTCTGCTCGCTGATTTAGTGGTGAAAATACTGAATACAAGGGATGCTAGCACTGACAGATTTAAAGCAAGTAGAGCTTGGTACAAAAACTGTTGTCGACAAACCGGAATTGACACAGTGTCGCTGCGTACGGAGAAGCAGCTAGTTCGAACACAAAGGCAGCAGAGGCCTATGTGGGGGCATTTACAAACTTTATCAACTCTTAATACATTGTTATGTTTCTTCTTCTTCAGTCATCCGACTGATACCAGGTTGTAGCCCAGTGCTGTGTTTTTCTGTATTTGTCTTGTGCTTCTTATGAGGCTGTGCGATAAATTTTTCATCCTTTATTGCAGGTTTCAACTACAACATTTATTCATATCATTCTTGGTCTTCCCCTTGCCTTCCTCCCAGATGTTATGTAGTTAAAAAGTCTTATATGCTGTTTGGTCTGGCAGCATTCTCCCTAGATGACTGAACCATTTCATTCTTTGTCAACATAATCAAGACATGGTCTTATTCCAACCTTCTCTCTAATGCTGGTATTCGTAACTCTGTCCCTCCTTGTGTTGTTAGTGGCCTAAGGGAGACAGCACACTTCATGTGTAGTTATTTTCTGTTCTAGTGCTCTATTCTTCTTCTTCTTCGCGTTCACCAGCTGTACACTCTGGCGGAAAGTTCTGGTTGTTCGTCCACTTCTGAACTGCAGTCCTGCTCCAGAACCTGAGTGTTGTGTATGCATCAGTTTTACAGATCTGATTCACTTGAACCAGACTGTTGGTTCCTTGCCTCTCAGGCAGATGCACTCCGACTTCAAAGGAAGCTCCCCAATTAGTCGACTCTTACGACATGCTTTTGGGTAGGCAGAGGGTCTATTCTTGTTTTCCCCACAATGGGGCCCCGGAACCCACACAGGGAACTGCTCTATTCATTGTCCATGTTAGGTACTGACAGCATAAAGTAGGGATGCAGATGCTTCTAATCATTTGCTGTTTTGCTGGAAATGAGACATTTGTGTGTCAAAGCTGTTTGGCTAACTGCTAGGTGACAGCATTTGCCTTCTGTACACTAGCTTTTATCTCTCTGTCATGTCTACAATCCTCCCTAAATATGCTTCCTAGATATTTGAATTATCCTATTTGTGTGTTCTGTGCACAATGTAACCCGTTATTTATAACTCATTTTAATAAACACGGTGTTGAAAAATATAACCTGCTAGTCGAAACAGAATTCAGTCATAAGTCGAGGAGACCCTGTACTCTTTATCTGTTGCCTTTTACAACACGTTTGCAAAGGGAACATTATTATTATTCTTTGTTTACCATATAAAGTGCAGAAACAGATGATGGGCAATTTTTTGCCATCAAATGAAAAATGCTGTACCAGATGTGACATAATTAAATTCTAATTATAAGCATGCCCACAATATGTTTAAGGCTCCAACTAGAAAATGTCAAATAACAAGTGAACTCAAATATGGAGCAATAAGACATTACTGAGACTGCAGCTTGGAGTGGCTTACGTCACTATAGCAGAAGACACCTGTTCTGTAGGTAAGGTTTAAAAAATAAATAAATAAGTTTGTTGCATATCCTTTACAGAATGTTGCAGAACCAACTCCAGCATTGGCCGTTGTGGTTTTTCTAGGCAAATTTATGTCCAGTAGTTTGCCATTGCTTTTTGGATGGTCGGCGTTCTCGATACAACTGTCAAAACCAACGCAAGGCCTGCAGCTGGGATCAAACCAGCCACTGATATATGTCAGGTACATAACGATTGTGAACATTTTTTACTCTTCTGTAAGAAATATGAACTGCAAAGGACTATGAATATATGAGTTGCTGTAATAAGCCTATGACAACTGAACATTTTCTGAGATTAGATGGGTCTAGAGAACTTGAGGGAAGGAAGAAACAGTACATTACAAAGAACAGAGATTTGCATATGAGATGTTAATATATCTTAAGAAAGAAACATGGTATCCCAGATCACTTTAAATATCCACAAAGATAAGACTACACAATATAATTACTATAACTGTTTGAAAGTCAATTTAAAATATACTGAATGTGACAATCTATACTTCTACAATCTTATAAAATTAATACATATGCTTTGTAACTTGCATAATCAAACTTAAATAAACATTACTGAAGTATTTTTTTTAAACACTCTATAAATCCCAAACATAACTTGGATGGACTGAACAGATATTGTTTGAATTAATACTACTACTTCTTCATTCCAAGCCCTTGAGGTTCACTGCTACAGATATCACACGCCTCCATTCATCTTAGCCTTTTTCAGCATTCTGAGCCCTTGAGGTTTACTGCTGCAGATATCACCCGCCTCCATTCATCTCTCTGGTTGGCCTTCACTTTCCAGTTGATGATACCAAGTGTTTGCAGATTGGATATTATCTCTCCATCGTTTTCTTGGTCTCCCTCGAGATCTACGACCATCTTCCTCGGGTATAGTTTTTAGTTCTCTGCCATCTGACATTCTTTCAATATGCCCCAGCCATTTCAGTAAATTACTACTACAACTACTATCGAATTATAAATACCTGCTCATGTTTGTCCTCTGTACTTATATGATCCAGGCTTTCAGATTTCGACTGCAGATTTGGTTCCATGTTGTCAACGGTGTCAGACTTGGAAACTGATGAGTCTATGTTAGTCGGTGGCTCAACGTTAGAAAAGCACACAGGTACAAATGAAACCTTGATGGTTCACTGTACGTCTTGTTATGTATCCGAATGCAATATGTGTTCACTTGCCACTACTACACATAACTCTTCTGGAATAAATAGGACCTTTAAATCAAATAATACTAGTGTAAGAAACACAACACACACAAAAATTTGTCAAAAAAGATTTTAAAATTAACAGCAGCTATTGAGTAAAATATAACAGTACAGCAAATAAAAACTGTATAATAAAAAAACAATTTATAGAGTGACTAGAAAAGATACAAATCAGACAGCAAATAAAAACCCTACGGAGAGAGAATGCTCAGTGATGCTACCTTACAAAGCATTCATCAAAAGAGGAGAAGGAAGTAGATCATGATATAGACCAAGAACATGATGGAAAGATTAAATCACAGATATGTTTAAGAGCAAAAACAAAACTGTTTATCTTCCATGACACTCGGAGCATTAAAAGGAGCAGTTAAACAGAACAAATAAAAGTGCAAAAAACCACATGAATCCATCATGAATTACTAAGTTCTTTACAAAATCTCTTTCATATCACAGCATGCCTTAATGTCTCTTTTTCAATAGCTAATTTTCCAGCCCTATCTGCTTTCATTGCCAATGCAACCTCAATGTCTTATATCCACTTTTGAGGAGGTCAGCCTCTGAATCATTTTCTAGAAACGACACCTTTATCACCGTTTTCTTCAGGCCACCATAACCCTTAACCTGACCAAAATACCCCAACACCAGAAGCATATGCACACACACACACACGCATATACATACTCACAAAATCAGGGCTCTATTTTCCCCACAATTAAGTACTGGTACTCAAGACAAAGGGTCTATTAAAGCAGCGCCGAAAAAAATTCTGCCTAAAAAAACATAACAGTATACTGTGTACCACCAGAGTCCTGTATAAAACACAATAGATTTTAATGTTAGGATAGCAGTGGGGTGTAAAGTGTCCTGCCTTCACAAATTCTAGGTCATCATATAGAAGATATGATGGCCAGTTCCCTTCCTCATCACCAGAAAGACAATATGGAAACGTTAAGGCAGTCCCAGAAGCCATGGTGGCATAGTGTTTAGATGCTCCTCTGCTGACTAAAAGGTTTTGGGTTAAAATTTATAAACTTGACATAATAGTACTTGGACATTCCCATAAGAGCTCTGTCCCCATCTTTAGCAGCAAGCACAGTAAAAGTTATTAACTCATTCCATTCGAACTGACTGTTGTGCCGAAAATGGTGCTGTCATCAACTCAGAAAAGGCAGCTGTTTTGTGGTGTTCTCTGGACAATAGAATTGTAAAAGCTGACGTTCCAAACCTCACAGTTCATAACAGTAACATCAAAAGAGAAAGCAAACTGAGATACCTGGGTATCATTTTTGATAGAAGCCTGTCCTTCAGGGATCATGTGGATGCAGTTGCAGTGAAATGCCAAAAAGGACTCAATGCTCTCAAGATTATGGCAGCAATAGACATGGAACAAAGAATGTTGTTCACAATGTTCCAGCATCTGATCCTGTCGGTGATAGATTATGGACTTGGCATATCAAAGAGTCAGCTGAGGAAACTTGAACGCATAAAGAATGAAGCCATGCGAGTGATTCTGGGATATAAAAGAGATACCCCGGTAGTATGTATGTGATATATACTTGCACTGCCTACTATTGCAGATAGGCTTAAAGTTCTGCAAGCAAAGTCATATCTCAGAGTAGCTGCAGACAAGAGGTACCTCCTGCATGAAGCCCTGGATAGAGCTAAGGGTAAAAGACTGAAAAGAGGAAAGTCTTGGATGGTGCAAAACTGAAGACACAATTCGACATGTGTGCAAGCTTGATGAATTTAGGCAAGGAGAGGAGTGGGTAAAAGTGTCTCATCATGTTTCAGACTTTAGTAGGGTTCTAATCACTTTGGGACGTAAGTGCAGGGACTGGTCAGCTGGTGCTGCAGAATCAGAAGTTCAACAAATGATTCATGACAATTCGTACCCAAGTGATGTGATTGTATATACAGATGGCTCTGTGGTGAGGGGTAGACTCATGGGGGTTCATAGCGAAGGCGAACGGATGTCCCTTGGCGCAACAAAGCCTGGCATATGATATCACAACGTCTAGTTTGAGAATGGAGGTGGTGGCAGTCACTGCTGTCTTCCGCTGGCTTGAGAATCAGCTGTACACACATGTCGTCATTGTAACTGACTCACAGAGCATGCTGAGAAAGGTGGAGACAGGCATGCTCCGTGCAGAGTGGCTAGCATCACTTCAGAGGTCCTGGGTAGTTAGCATCCTTTGGATATTTTTACCAGGTTACGCGGTGTGTTGGGAAATGAGCAGGCGGATAGACTGGCCGGTTCTGCACCATTTGGTGGTGAACTGATATATGATAAGCTGGATGTTGTGAGGGCCCTTTGGGAGCGAGTGAACAGTGCCGAGGAAAAGATAGACCATTTTGGTCTAAAAAGAATGGCATTGCGAAGAGTTCTGGCTAACGGATCTAGCTGACGCTCAACACTCAGGGGAGGGGCAAGACCGATATACAATCTGACTGTTACTGGTACTATCGTAATTTTAACTTTTCGCTTGCTGCTGAAGATGGGGACGAAGCGTTTATGGGATTATCCCGAGCGCAGATATTTCTGCCCAACAACAAATTGGCAAAAAAATCTGGGCGGGTCGATCTATTGGCCTAGTAATATACGCCTTGAGATTGGCTGGCTGGTTTTCGTACCAGCTGATCAGATTGCTTCTCATATTTCTAGAACATGTGGGCTGTTCAGTGACAGTTTTCATGAAACTTTGTAGTGTTTTGTTGTAATTTTATAGATTTTTTTTTTGGGGGGGGGGGGGGGGGTGTTACTTGTTCCCAGCAATGGTGAAAAGGACTGTTGTGTCTGTAGCAACCAAAACATAGCAGGAGGCAGGAAAAGGAGTAGAACTATGTGCCAGAGGTGTCTAAGGGGCCTTTCTTCCCAAAACACAAGTGTTAGGACTTATTCAGGCTTCATTCATCAGAAAATTTACCCAAATGGTGCAATGTAATCATGTTTGTTTGCCCGAAGTGAAAAAAAAAAAAACATGCATAAATTAGTAAATCAGGACAGCTAATTTTGGAATAAATAAATACTATATGATGAGATGTCGTGCTTCATAAAGACTGTGTTAGCTCATTTAATTTGCTGCAAGAATATATATAGTTTTATTTTATATATGTTAAATAATTAGAAGCTTTATTTTTTTTACATTGTTGTGTGTGCAAATTAAGAGAATCAGAATCCCTTTCTAAAGGGTCGTCTTTTTGGTACTGAAACTCTAAAAAAGGTTACGACTTCAAAATATGATTGAGTATTTCAAATAATAATAATCATATTTTGAAGTCGAAACCTTTTTTTGGAGTTTCAGTAGCAAAAAGACGACCTTTCAGAAAGGAAGGGATTTTGATTCTCTTAATACTATTTGACCCTGTTAGTATGTCCATGAGTTTAGTTTTTGACATTCTTACTCACTCAAATAGTTCAAATACAAGACTCTGAGACTCAACAGTTAATGATAATGCCTAAGCAATAAAGCTACACTGCTACAGTACCTGTGGCCAACAGTGGTGAGACAGGTGGGATTCTAAAACATGGCAGGATGTGTTACTGTTAGCAGTATGAGTATTTACCTACATTTCACACACATTAGTCTACACACACACATCATAGTCACATACACCACAAACTTTAATCTTGCATCTTCATGATCTTCCTTCGAAATATTCGGTTGCGAATGATTCAACTTGAATCACTATCACTAACTTAACTATCATAATAACTTTAAAATCACAGAAACACTTGTAGTTTTTAAAATGTGAAGGGCGGCGAAGTTTAACAAAGTATTGAAAGTCAATGAAAGAAAACTAACCTGGGTGAGCCGGTCTGTCTGCGACTAAATGACTAAACGAGAAGAAAAAGTCGTCTACTTCTTAGAATAAAGAATTGCCTCCCTCTTCTATTTAATTTATACTTAATATCGACATACATACGCTTAACTTACTTCAAAGCAGACAGTGTAATATGCATATGCTAATGAGTTTATGGTTCACAGATTCGCCATCATTTCTATGATAAAACGATTCGACTGGAGATAATATTATAATAATAAACAACAGAGCAAGACGACGAAGCTTGATCAAGGATCTATGTTGGTCTTGCAAAAGCCAAAATGGCTATCGCGCCGACTTCCGGGTAGCTGTCCTACCTTTAGTAGATGGGAGTAGTTTACAGAAGAGTGATACGGAGTCACACCCGTTAATGGGGAAATGTGATGAGAGAAATATATTTAAATAAATTAACGGCGTTCATTAGCCGGCTCATGAGGCCAGTAGAGCCAATTAAATCACCAATGTAGAGCTTTTGGGGAAGACTCCGGCGGTACGCAACCGTGCGCAGCAATAAGGAATCTTGTTTTTTTTTTTTTTCTTTAGTGCAGCTGTTATACTAATAGACACATTTTGGTAGGTACCGACACATTTGTGCGTGGAGTCACCTTTATTTTTGTTCCGGGACACGCAGGCGTCGATGGAAATGAAAGAGCTGACAGGTTGGCTGGATCCGCTATCACTACCGACGGTCGGCCTATGGATCATGCTGATATTATCAATGCCCTCAGAGAAATGGGAAGGATAGAGGACTTTGGTGGCAGTGAATCCACATCACTCGCCAGAATGGCAGACTTGGGAATTAAGATCGGCACAGCAAAAAACGAGACGCACACCGGACACGTCAGAAGACTTGTTAATCAACATAGAACTGGTACTATTAGCCATCGGACGTTGGGGTTCATACTGAGGGGAGGATCTGAGCACCTATGGACATGTCCGGAGTGCAATGACGATAACCCAACTAACTAACTAACATTTGTAGATAGATAGTTTGTGGCGAGTACAGG